TATGGAGCTGGGTTCTCCTCCAGCCGCTTCACATCCAGAGCCCAGACTAACACAGATTATCAGTTAATCGTGAGCAGTGTGGAGGTGGGAGACTCAGCAGTGTATTACTGTAACACATGGGACAACTCTGCCAAGGCTTATGTATCACAGTGACACCGGCTGTAACAAAAACCTCTCACAGCTCTCCTGCTGTACAGCTGGGTCAGTGATGCAGAGTTACTGTTCTGTAAAAACATACCCAGATCTGAAAAACCAGTCACAATTCTTCAGCTGCTCAATGATATATTTAGAGAGATGGAAGCCTTTTATGTTGTTAGAAACGTGTGCAAAAATGTATTCCTCGTTCTTGTCTCTATCACATGCTCATGGAAGAAGGGCAGCTCATAAATGTAATATTTTTTTGCTTTTTATAGTTGTTCTTAATGCTAGCGGATAACAGGATGGTTTCTCCTGAAATATGTGTTAATGATACACTCCTCTTCTAATAATATTATTTTAAAAATAGATCAATCACAACTGTTAGTCTATTGAAAAGTCCTAGAATATGATTAGGAAACCAATGATATTAACATCACATCGCTGTCTTTACATTGCTGTCCCAACCTTAGCTCACACCTCAGAAATATTCATTATTACAGTTTCCTAATCCTGGTCTTGGATACACACACATCTACTGGGTTAATTCCTGCCAAGCTCATAATTTTACAACCGAACCCTTAACTGACAAAACAATAGCAATATTTTAAATTTTTGACTGTTTTCATCCCTGTTGAATGTCGCCTTTTAACTATTGTATTTCCGACATATAATAAACTCCCAAACTTCTGAGTTGAACAGCTGAATTTTTATGGAATATCAGAAATAAGCTGAGGAAAGATTCCATAAAGCTCAGTATGGACACAATGGTTGAAAAAATACTATTTGAAACCAAAGTCTGAGTGCAGGTAAACCAGTCTAATAATACAAAGTCGATCATTTAACTAATATAAGTATTCTAACTCTCTCGCTAATAATGATGAAACAGTTTAAAGTGTCATTCATCTTTAAAGTCACATGAACTATTGAAAGGCTTTCACCTTGAAAATTTGGAAAGGATCATTTTGAAATGTAAAAAACACCGTCTCTTATTTTTCCCCCCCACACAACAGAAAAAATCATTAAAAAAAGTTTTTGCTGTTTCACAAAATATTTATATAAAATATTAATGTTTTATCAACCTTTAAAGTAAGAGAGAAGCCCTCCTGTGTCGTGTTGTGAGACCCCAGGGGTCACTGCTGTCCTGGGTCCCAGCTGAGGCAGGTGCAGCTCCAGGCCTCTGTTCTCAGGGGCTGGTTTTGCATGAACCCTGCACTGGGCAGTAATTGATAAGTTTTGTATTTGTGATGTAATTTTGAATTTGTAAATGGCATCCATCCTGAAACAGTCATTGAGTTTACAAATGTCCCTTATTCAGGTGTGTTACCTGAAATGTTTCCAACTGGCCCACTACAAAAAGGAAAAAAATCTTATTTTTTTCATGTATAATGTCTGTTCCTGTCCCACTCATGTTTGTTCATCCTATATTGATCACTTACTTAGTCAGAAATAAACAAGTAAAGTCTTAATAAATACGCCTAGGAGAGATTCCATAAAGCTCTGTATGACACAATTGTTGGAAAAATACCATTAAAAGCAGGGTATTCTGAAACCAAAGTCTGAGTGAAGGTATACCAGTCTATTTAAACATGTGTATTAATTAAAATGATCAATCAGATCCAGCTATTAAGAGTTCAGTTGGAAAACAAGCCAACAGGCTCAGGGGTCCCCCTGGACACCACAGCTACAGCCCCACTTTGAAATCCCCTCTAGTTCCCTGTTGCCATGACGCCCTGGGGGTCACTCTGGTGTCCCTGCTGAAGATACTGTTTCCCAGACTAGCCCCACTGTTACTGCGAGTGTGGGACATTGCAACAGATAAAGGAAGTGGATTTTATATGTCATAAAATTATTCTATTCTCTCACTAATGATGACAAATGTTTTATTAGAATGTATTTACATCTCTTGAAGTTTTGGAGAAGTTTCACATTTACAATTTGTAAAGATTCTTTTTGAAAAAGTAAAAAATCACGACCCCTGATTTTTTCTCAAGAAAAGGAAGAAATATTTTACCGTTGTTTCAACTGTCCTGGGTCCCAGCTGAGGCAGGTGCAGCTCCAGGCCTCTGTTCTCAGGGGCTGGTTTTGCATGAACCCTGCAGTGAGCAGCTGTGATTGGGTGAGCAGAGAGTCGCCCTCTGCAGCTCATTGAATGGCCCCTTATAGCCGAGTCCTGCA